ATTATTCTGCATTCTGAAACCATTAAGTGAGCTAATATACCTGCATTTTTCTTGCTGAGTGCGTCGGCTACCATGTTACCCTTATCCAGGTAATATAAGATGTTGCAATTATAGTCCTTGAGAAGTTCTATCTACATTCTCTGATGTATGTTGAGATCCTTTTGAGTGAATATGTGTTTCAAGCTCTTATGATCAGTATAGATCTGAAAGGTCTTCCCATACAAGTAATGGCGTCAAGTCTTCAAGACGTGGATAATTGCGGCAAGTTCTAAGTTATTGATGGGCTAGTTCTTCTCATGACTCTTCAACTACCTGGACCCATAGGCTATGACCTTCTCTTGCTGCATCAAAACACAACCCCACCCTAGGTATGAAACATTACTATAAACTATATATCCACCCGATTCGCTCGGTAAGGCCAACACAGGTGCGGTAATCAACCATTTTTTTAGTTATGAAAAACTTCTTTTACAGTCATCGTTCAACTCAAACTTGACGTTCTTCTTTGTGAACCGAGTCAGATGAGCAGTTAGGCTAAAAAACCATTTCACAAACCTGCGGTAGTAACCTACCATCCCTAAAAAGTTACGAATCTTCTTAACCGATGTCAATTTTTTTCAGTCGAGCACTGCTTTGACTTTTTCGGATTTCACTGACACTCTATCTTTTGATATGATGTGCTATAAGAAGGTAGTCTGCTCAAGTCAGAACCCACACTTACTCAACTTTACATACAATTTTTTTCTCTATGAGAACCTGCAAAACTTAAGTCAGATGGTAAACGTGTTCCTCTCTACTTTTTGAATAAACCAAGATATCATCAATGAACACAATGACGAACTGATCTAGGAATTGTCTGAAAAACCTGTTTATTAAGTACATGAAGATGGCTAGAGCGTTGGTTAGTCCCAATGACATGACCAGGAACTCGTAGTGTCCGTACCTAGTTCGAAAGGCTATTTTGTGAATGTTTTCTACCCTGTTCTTTACTTGATGGTAACCTAAATGTAAGTCTATCTTAGAGAAGATCTGGGTACTCTGCAACTGATCAAAGAAGTCATCGATCCTGGGGAGGAGGTACTTGTTCTTGATCGTGGCTCTGTTCAGACATCTGTAATCAATACATAACCTCAACGTCCTATTTTTCTTTTTTACAAATGTGACTCCAACACCCCAAGGAGACACATTATGTCAGATGAATCTATTGTCCTATAATTCAGTGATTTGTTTTCTCAGTTCCTCTATCTTAACATGACTCATGCGGTAAAGAGCAACCGAAATAGGCTGGGTATCTGGCTGAAAATCTATGGTGAATTCGACTTCTTTGTCTACTGGTAGTTTAGGTAGTTCATCCGGAAATACATCTGGAAAGTCTCGGTCTACCAGAATCTTTTGAATATAATTTTTTTTTTTAGGTTTGCCTAGTTAGAGAAACTAACCGAGTAAAAGGGCTATGCAATAAGGAAATTACTATGAGGGAGTAATATTCAAAACTTTTATTAACTTGTAAATGACTTTTCGTTAGGAGGCTTAAATACAATTTTTTTCTTGTGGGAACAATCCACGGTGGCATGATACGTCGCTAACCAATTCGTCCTTAGAAATACATCAGGGTCCCCCGTGTCAACCTCTATCAGTCCCATCGTGGGTGAAACTAAGTCCCATAGAAGATGGGCTAGATTGTGCTGGGGGATGGATCGCATGGCCCTGTGGTGGTAATGGATGATATGGTGGAGACACCAGATTATACTGTGGTGGTGCTGGGTGATGCAGTTAGGGCACTGGACTGTACTGTGGTGGTGCCGGATGGTACTGTGGATGACAGGGTCATACCGGGAGTGGCTCATGATCCTCCCGCTGCAGTGGTGGCTCAA